AATTATAAAACTTTTATGAAATAAAAAATCAAAATTAATTACTATTAGGTGAATGAACTCAAATTGTTTAGGTGAATTTGAAAGCAGTTTTTAATTACTCGTTAAACGAATGAATTCTATGTCTAATCTTAGAATTTTAACTTCGGATCATCTGAACAATTCGAGTTCATTTGACTAATAATAATTAATTTTAATATTTTTAATTTTTGCTAACCATTTTATTTTATTAACAATTTATATATTTTTTTATTTTTTCTTAATAAATTTAAGTGGAATCCATTTTATTTTTTTCCTGCCTATCACTTAAAGATTGCCGCATTATGTTAGAATGAGAAAATATTGAGAATATATTGTTTTTTAACAATCACACGACAAGTCAGTCCTTTGATTTGAACTGTTCAATACACTATAGTACAGAGAATTTATAGTATAGTATGGTCTTAATAATGATTTGGAATTTTGGATATCTCAAAAGCATGTCATTAAACCAAAGTTATTTTTGGAAGATCAGAATAATTCATGGAAATAATAATGAATTCATATCCTAATTAAATATATATGATATATATATTTTTATGCATAAAGGAGTAAGACATTCAAAAACTGATTTGGTCCAATAATATAAATATATATATTTTGAACTACCCAAATCATTACAAGTTACAACTGCTAATATTTTAGAAAAGGAAACCGTATTTGAAATTTAAATAGGAATCCTAGTCTCATTCACGTTCATCCTGAAAACAAACCAATAATGACCCTAAATAATTCTTTTGAAGGATAAAGAGAATAAATACATAGACAAATTACAATAAGATGTCGTTTTATTAGTAGGAATGAAAAATTCAGAATTAGAATGGAGGAATCGGAATGACATTTGTATTGTCATATTGTGTTTGAAATACTAATAAAGAATCGAAATGTAATTTAATTTTGTTATATTTGATTTTTAATATAAATAAAAATAATGATTACAAAATAATTTATCAAAATATGATATTTGTAAAAATCATAAAAGTGATGGTGATAATAGTGGTGTTTACGGTGACGATGGTGGTGATGACGGTGGTTCTAATGGCGGTAATAGTGATTGTGATGATAGTGATGAAGATTATGATGGAATATAATTTTGTAATATATATATATTAAGGTTAAAGGTGTTACTTTACAATATCTTAATTATTGATGATGCTATGATAATTTACGCAAAGTATAAATATACATGTCCACAAGAATTCCTATAATTTGGTTTAAGAATAATAACAGAATTCCTATCCTATATGAAATTCATATTTTATTTCTCTTTGGAATTAAATTTACTTTTATTCCATTTAAGATGGTTGACTTAGTTTAAGCAAATAGTTTCCTTTTATATGCAAAAAATTCATTGCATAGCTGTGCTCGTCTTATATATCCAACTCGAATAAAGATGGATTAGCTTGGATTTTTAAGCCTAAGATAAAAAAAATAAATAAATAAATAAACAATCTTATTCTATAGAATTCTAATATTAATTATTAGAAAAGAAAGCAATGTTTATTTCACCTAAAAAACAAATTTCCCTTATTTCACCGATCAAATTCAAAATAATAATAATAATAATAATAATGGCAAATTAAGAAAGGCAACAGTAGCACATGATCATTTGCACTTTAGGCATCTGATTGATAGTCTTACGAAACTGAAAATTAAAGAACATAAATTTGTCCAATTTTTGAAAGGAGCTATAACAACAGAAGAGTGAGAAATTAAGAAGAGAAGAGATGCAATATTTACACCAAATTAAGAAAATGAACTCAGAATATGAAAATTAGAAGCACACAACATCATTTTTAACATCACCATTAACCATTTAAGAAGCCCTCAACCTTGTCATTAACAGCAGCTGTTAGGAACTTCATGCACATTGGAGGATTAACACCAGAAAGGGCAAGAATGGCCGCAGGGATACCCCACAAAGAGTCTCCACAAATGAGGCCAGATGCCACGGCAGGGCCAAAGTCATTAGCCTTTTGCTTGTTTCTTAACTCCCAGATGAAGAGAATCAAACTTCCAACACACATGTCAATGGCAAAGTAACCGCCAAGATAGAATGGTATTGCCATGCACATTGGGCTTGGAATGAACCTGTAGATTCTGAACTTGGTTTCGTATTTCCTTAACAACTCGGTCACGAGGTTTATAACCATGGCGGCGATGAAGAATATGATGGAGAGTTTAAGGCAATTTTTGGGAAGGGAGGAAACACCCTCGGTACCAAGCATGGCAATCCCACGGTAGACTGCACCATAAGGTGCAGGATAGGTGCTACCCTCCTCACCGACCGGGTAAGCCTGATAGAAGAACCAGAAGACTAATGGGGTTATAACACAACCCATGGCAGTGCCCAAGACTTGACTGAAGAACATAGAGCGAGGAGAGGAGAGGGTGAGGTATCCTGTCTTGAAGTCTTGCATCAGATCAGATGCTGTTGAGACAATGCTCATCATCACACCACAGGAAGCAAGACCAGCAATGATACCACCATCTGGTAGGCCAACCCAAGCACTAAAGATGATGATGGCAAATTTCCCATAGTTGGACGCAAGAGACCAATCTGTAAGACCGCATCCGTAGGCGTTGCAGAAGGCTAAAACTGGTGCGATAATATAAGCAACCAGGATGTGGTACCATTTCAATTGAGGGAAGATATAGGGTACTGAAATGATAGAAACGACTGCTAGAACAATGTAGCCAACGCCAGCTACCCAAGTTGGGATCTGGTCTTTTAGAAAGAATTCGGTTCTACGTTTTTCGTCATACTTCACAAGCTTAGAGTTCTCATCTCCACCAAAACCAGGACCCTCAGAGTCTTTATTCTTCATATTTATTACTAGACTCATAAAGGTTTTCAAAAGCATGTAGATGACATGGAAAAGACCGTCGCCCAACATTGTGGCAATAGCCATAAAAACCTGGAAAAAAAAAACGGATGGAAGGATTAAGAATTTCTGAAACTTAATAAACCAATTAGAAAATGACCATAGCAGATTAATAGCTTGAATTGAGGAATAATACCCTGTATCCCTGGATGCCATGGAGACTGGTTGGCTTTTCGTCAGCGCTATACCAGTCACCTTTCTTAGTCTCAATAATTGGCCACATGATTCCCCAGGAAAGGATGGCTCCAAGAAGCAAGGAAATGTTCACCATGTAAGGACAAATCATCCCAACACCAACATATGTTGCCGAGAAATCAAAGTAGAACCTGTTATACAAGTTTTAACTCGTCAATCAACAAAATTACATAAAAGGATCATCAAGAAGTCACCCAAACTTTATTTATATATTGTGCGGAATCGAATATGCAATGGTGGGCTTAAAACACCTACCTGTTAGAAAAGGCTTGGGGTCCAAAAGTGGGGAAGCTAGCAAATCCACATCCATCTGCAGCAGTCCAAAACCACTGGAAAAAGGCCCACAAAAAGCTGCCGGTGAAATATTTGAACAGAACAGCAACTTGCTTCCTGTACATTCATTGGAAAATTAGTGTAAGCAAACAGTGACATAAATAAATATAATTCAAAACCTCATCTCCCCAATTTGTGTTGAATTGAAGAATGATTACTTTGCTAGTTTGGCTCCTTTCGGTGTGTGAAAGCTGTTGATGAGGTATGCAGTAGCTGTTCCACTAGGATATGTTAACTTGTACTTCAAGATCATCAGCTGCAAGATTAAGATTAGACTATCAGATATCTAATATTAAAAAAGAAAAGAAATACTAATTAAAAAAAAAAAAAAGAACATCTATTGTTACTAGATTTAATTAATTGTTACCTTCCTTAGAGGCACAATAGAGAACAGGCCAACAAAGCTCACAGCAAAGAGAAATCCAATCATCCAACCAAGTTGGAGTTCTTTCATGTTTATAGGTGTATTCCCTCCTTCTGATTGATTAGCTATCCTTGGTGTCATACCAAGTAAATAACTTGCAGTGCCACCTAATAGTTTGCCACAACCACCAAACAAGAGATATTATTGATTAAAATTAGAGCTAAAAAAGAATCATGTAGTAAATTTGGACTTTTCGAAGATTTTTTAATTATTAGAAACTGCTTTTCTTAATCCTAATTAATATCAACAAGAAAGAAACAACTATATAGATATATATTAAAACATTAGATTATATAACTCTTGACCAAATATCGCTTCCCTGAGTCGTTAAATTAACAGTGATTTTAGTTTGTGATAATAAAGGAATATTGTAAATGTGGGGATCTTTTAATTAGTTCAATGGATTTTTCTCTATGGATTTCGCTTCTATCAAACATATATATATATATATATATATATATATATATATAATGAAATTAAGATCATGAAAGCAAGAAAATAATACATCAAAACAAACAAATAAATAACATAAGGGCACGTAGAAACACACTGCCGAATATATATATATATATAATGAAATTACGATCATGAAATTAAGAAAATACTACTACAACAAAACAAACAAATAAATAACATAAGAGCACGTAGAAACATACTGCTGAATGCAATGCCAGAAGAGGCAACCACACATGTTTGGACCACTGTATTTTCTTGCCTAGTGAATGGGTGCTTCAAGAATCCAGCTTTTCCAAGCAATGAAGTCCAGAACTTAAGGATGGCAAATCCCAACAAGCCGGCCGCAACGTTAAGGGAAGGGATCACACCAGTTGTGAGGTTAAGCTTGCAAACAATAAAGTTGAATACAACACTCAAAATCAGGCTTGTTAACATAGCCCTAAGAGTAATTTGATTTGTCCATGAAGGAATCTTTGTGTCCTTGAATGCTTCTTCAACCATAACTTCCTCTTTCTCATCAGAGGAAACCTGATATCGATCTCTGTCTCCATCAAAAGGGTTCGTGTAATTCTCTCCATGATCTCCACCACTCCTTCTTCTCTCCATTGTTTCCTTCTAAAGAGAATATCTCTATACAAAGTACAAAGTTCTCTCTTTGTATAGAGATATAAATGATGATATCTCCGGCCACCTCTCTCTTCTCCTCTCAGGTAATTTTTTTGTTTTTCGATTTTCTTGTATATCTCTATGCAAGTGTTGATGTTTAGACCTAATCCAAATATTTATATTAAAAAGAATCCCAAGAGATCCTGGAAGTTTGAATTTGTTGCACATAAAACGGAAATAGTAAACACAGGTATTGAGGTCTCAACTTTCCTGACGACCATAGAATTTTTAGTGCAAATATTTGATGATATGGCGCACTTTGTTAAAAATAGGAAGGAAGACTGAACCAAATAAACTTCATTGTAGGTTAGGAGTGTTATAGAGACGGGTAACTATCCAATCTGATTCATTGTAAACAACTAAGTCCTACGCATACGTGCATGGCTTTGCAAAAGCTATAAGATTGAATAATTGTATGAAGGGGGGTGATTATTCAATAATAATAATAAGAAGAAGTTGCTTAAATTATGTAACATGAGATACTATTATATATGATTTAATGAAGGAATCTAAATTAATTTTAGACTGATTGGATAGTAGTTAGGACCATTGCTTTTCAAATTAGGACAAGGAATAATGGATGAATTGCCTCCCTAGCTATTTTTACATGATTACAGTTTTCAGTGTGAATCTATAAATAGGAGTGAGTTAAAACAAAGTTTACTTTCGAGAACAACTGTTTCAATCTTAGATATAATGAGATTTATCGTTCAAAATATTTGTAAAAAGCTTAATTAAATTTAACCCTCAACTACAAAAACAATATATAGATATTGACTTGAATTGTTTGAGAAGTTTTAAAACAATAATAGATGGAATAACTAATAATACCTACTCATTGGGTGGACAGAGATAAATACAAATAAAAAAAGAAAACCAAGTCGGATTCTTTTCTCTTTATATATATATATATATATATATATATATATATATATATATATATATGGAGTTAATATTATTAATTACTCTTGAAGTTACTCAAAATTTCTCAAATTCTTCTAATATGTAGACATATATTTATTCCACTTGAAATGCTCTGTCTAAGATCGAATCGGATAATGAAAGAGGCACGTAGCAGGAACTTTTGGTTAGGGAGAAGACACCTTCACCCCTTTAAATCTGCCTCTACAGTTAAAAGAAGGAATTAATTAATTTCAAAATCTAAAAGTTGTCCAATAATTAATATGGTTATTGAGAACCTTTTTATATAGAGAACAAGGCGCATGGTTGAATGAATATTGCCATGTATCAGAAATAATTACTTCATCATGATAGGCATGCAGCAAGTAATCAGATATATATTAAATGCTTGAACACAGTAATCAATATTAATGAACCTTATCAGTACACTTCAGCCAGCTTGTACCACATACACTAACAATTATCAAAAGTATTAAAAATTTCCGATTTTTGGAAAACGAAAACTAAAAGAAATATGTTGAAATTAATATATAGCATTTTAGCTAGGAAAGGATTGAAGCAACCTCTCCTCCTGTTTACAGCACCGAGCACATTTCTATATGTGCAAATTCCATTTATACCTCAAACCAAAAATTAGAACAACGTACACTAAGAATATGTCAAACTGATCAATTCAATTGGGGGATAAGGAATCCGATGATGCAAAAAAACTCCATGGATGCCACTAACAATAATTTAAAAGATTGTATAATACATCAAAATTTTTTAAAAAAGAAGCAATTTTTTTTAAAAAAATATATAACGACAACTATTCGATAAATAACTATTATTATTATTATTATTATTAGTGTGAAACACCGATAGAAACTTTATAACCACAAATAACAGTAATTAATATGCTCTAAACTATTAAATAATTTAGAACTACAGTTTGAATGGAAAGAATCACCCCATAGCGATCGAAGCCGGAATAGAGTTGGAGAGGATTCAATTGTCACGGGAAGTGTTTCAGCAAAATGGCGAAGACACTAAGAACATTCTGGATGAATTGACCAATGGCAAATCTCCATCATCAAGAGGGAACCGTTGATTTCTAGTCATTTGTGATTATGTGTGTGTTTGATTGCAATATGTAGAACTTTTTAACCTCTTTTCTTCTTTTAATTCCATTTTATTTCAACAATCTCTTGTAGAACCTGATATACTAAACATATTAGGATCAAGTTTGTCGTTACCCGATGTCAAATGGGACTTTCCAAAAATATCTAATAATCTACTATTATTTTACAAAATTATTTACAAATTCGAAGTTGCCACATAGTATTAAAGAGCTGAAAACCTAAAAATAGCATTAGTCCGGAGATTCTCGAATAAAGAGTTGGTTATGTTTTGGCAAGATATCGATCATCGAAAAATATCTTTTCCTAGGAAAAGTATTATGTCTAATTAAGTCTTAAATTCATCTCCTAAAGTATTTTTATTTTTGTGCCAAATTATTTTCAATTTAACTCCAATTTTCAAGTTGAATCAAGTTTTTTAGTTTTAAATGTGGCATCATATTGAAAAGATCGTCGATCCCCTTCATCGGACGACACGTCGATATACGACCGATGTGTTTGAGAACATCCTAATTATTATATGTTGATTTTTTATAACAATAGTCTCTATCGGATAAGAGACTTCGTCAAGAATATTATTATTTTTTTGGTTAAACGATAATCTCTATCGATTGGAGACTTTATTGAGAATTTTTATTATTTATTATTTTATTTGGTCAAATGGCAAGTCCCTATTACATAGGAAACTTCGTTGAGAATTTTTATTATTTGTTGATAAAAAATTATCATCGGTCTCTAAAAATTAGGAGACTCGACAACTATTTTATTAAATAATTTACTAACTTAATTACTAAGATAAATTCTAAAATTTTAGGTCAATTAAATAAATTTCAAAAAAAATGTCTAAAATATTGAATCTAAATTTAATGCGAAAAAATAAAAATATAAAGAGAAATAAAAATGCTCATACTATAGTAGAAAAATACAATCAAAATATTAAAAAAAAATCTTTTAAAGCCTCGGGTCCATTAGCCCATGCCTTATTCTCTACTACCTATTTTTTTTTTTTTGTTTCTAATTTTCCTTCTTTTTTTTTTTTTTCAAGTTGGAAGCTGAGTTGGTTCCAGCTTCCCATTTATTCCTCTTTTTTTCTTTTTGAAGGAAAAGGGGAAAGGCAAAAGCTAGATTGAAACCAACTTTTACCTAGTTTCTTTTTTCTTTTTAAAAGCCAGATCTGGGCTGGAATAACTCCAGCCCAACCTTTGTTTAGAGTGGGTTGGCCTTGCCCCAACCCACTTTCCTATTTTCTTTAAGCTTCCTGGGCTGGACTTCAAGTCCACAAACTAACCCAATTCCTTTTATTTATTTATTTATTTATTTATTTTAGATCAAACAGACATTCTCTCTCCCATGTTCTATCATTTCTTTCTTTTTGCTCTTCCTTTTCTCTCTCTATAACTGGACTAATCGTCCAGCTTAATCAAACAAATACGAATTAATGATGATAATCGATGGATTACCTGATGATTAAGATTGAGAAAATGATCATGGCTGCCCCGAGTTCCTTTGCTTGCAATCGAATAGAACCTGTGTTGTTGTTGTGAATGATTTACAGGGGATTAGTGATAGGTCTCGCCCATGTTGGACCCATCACCTTTGAATCCAGATTCAAAGGATTCAAAGGTGCAGTAATTTTTATTCCAAAATTACTGCATCCAGCCCATACATGCATGCAGAGTTGCTACAGCATATGTTGACAAGAAAATGGGAGGCGGTGCTGCATTTGTTCAACAAATGCAGCATGTATTTACATCTCAATATTTGCCTATAAATAGGCTTGGTATGCATTCATTTTAAAAGGCAGAAGAAGAGAGAAAAAAGAGTGAAATTGAGAGAGAGAAAAGAGCGAGTAAGTTAGAAAAAAATAGTGTGCCAAAATTTATGACTATACTATGTCCAAATTTTGATGTTTATTATAAGCCTCTAGTTGTACTAGAGAGACTGTTTATACACCCATTATTAAATAGTGGAGGATATACTAGCTTGGTCTCGTGGTTTTTACTCCTAAATTTAAGGAGGTTTTCCACGTAAAAACTCTTGGTGTCCTTTTTCTCTATCCTTTTTTTCTTTTATTTTCTAGAGTGAGTTTTAGGCTTATTGCCCAACAACTAGTATCGGAGCATGAGGTTTTAGCCTCCAAGGAAGAATCTAAAAATTTTTTTTGGAATAAATTACTACAAGATGGAAGCAAAGGTCGGAAAGATGATCTACCTCAATGGCTCAAACTATCAAATATGGAAAAACAAAGATGACGGATCTCCCGTATGTGACAAAGTCTCACTTACCGGTGTTTGCTATAGCAAAGCTCGACGATAAAGCCGAGGAGGATTGGGAGTTTGAGCACATGCAAGTGTGCGGCTTTATTCGATAGTTTGTTGAAGAAAATGTGTACAATCACGTTAGTAGTGAAACACATGCCCAAACATCATAAAACAAGCTTGAGGAACCGTATGCTTCCAAGATCGACAACCATAAATTGTTTTATCTAACAAAGTTAATACGAGTGAAATATTAAGAAGGTACATCCGTGGCGAGATCACTTAAATGAAATTCAAAGGATAGTAGATCGGTTGTCGGGAATGGGCATAAAGTTTGATAATGAAGTGCTTGCTCTCGTGGTGCTTACCTCTTTGCCGAGTCTTGGGAGACCCCGAAGATTTCAATTACCACATCCGCTCTAAATGGTATGGTGACCATGGAATCCGTAAAAAGTGGTGTTCGTAATGAAGAAATTAGAAAAAGATAAAACAGGCTCCTCTTCACCATAATCGGATGTTTTGGTTGCGGATTTCGAAGGAGAAGCCAAAGTAGAAATTCAAAGCACGAGGATAAGAACGAGAGGAAGATTCAACAAATATGCCAATATTGAGTGCCACTATTGTAAGAAATAAAAGGCATCTTAAAAGATTCTGTCGAATATACAAAAGAGACTAGGAGCATAATAAAGGCAAACATGAAAAGAAACATGATAGCAATGATGACAAACGAGTAACTATCGCTACTCGAAGCATTCCTCATTGTATGCGAGGATGAAGCTATCAATCTTGCATCTCAAGAAACATGTTGGGTGGTAGATAGTGGTGTTCCATATCCATACATGTCATATCATGAAAAAATTTCTTCTCATCCTACACACTAGGAGACTTTGGTGTTATCAAGATGGGAAATGACAACTCAATAAAAATTATTGGCAAGGGAGATGTTTGTTTGGTAATAGAAAATGGCATGAGATTAGTCTTAAAAGATGTCGGGCATACCTCGGATATTCGCTTGAATTTAATCTCCACAGTGCAAACTTGATGATGATAGATTCCGTAACACTTTCATCAATGACTAGTAAAAACTCACCAAAGGTTCTTTGGTAATGGCTAGAGGCAAAAAGTGCTCAACATTATATTTGATGCAAGCAAAGCTCTCCACATAAATGGTGAATGCTATGGAGAAAGATAATACAATTGAACTATGGTATAGAAGGCTTAGCCATATGAGTGAAAAAGGAATGACATGGCTAGCTAAACGGAATGTGCTAGTCGAGATGGATAAAGTACATTTAAAAAGGTGTACAAATTGTCTAGTAGGAAAGCGAACGCAGTTGCTTTCAAAAATGCTCATCCTTCTAGAATGAAAAATATGTTGGATCTAGTACACTCGGACTTGTGTGGCCCAATGACAACAAAGTCACTTGGTGATACTCAATACTTTGTGACTTTTATTGATGATCATTCTAGGAAGACATAGGTCTACACCTTGAAGAAAAAAGATGAGGTGTTAGAAATGTTCAAAAAATTTCAAGCCTTGGTTGAGAGACAAATTGGGGAGAAGTTAAAGTACATCCGAACGGACAATGACGGTGAATACATTGGTCCATTTGAAGCTTACTCTAAAGAGAAGGGGATTCAACATCACACAACACCTCCAAAGACCCCGCAGTTGAATGACATAACAAAGAGAATGAACAGGACCTTGATAGAGAGAGTCGAAGTCTACTCTCACATGCAAAGCTATCTAAGACATTTTGGGCTTTAAGTATAGCTGTTTATGTATTAAATCTCTCATCGTGTATTCCTCTATAGTGTGATGTTCCAAAGAGAGTATGGTTAAGAAATAATGTTTCTTATGATCATTTACGAGTGTTTGGATATAGCATTTGTACACATTCCAAAAGATGAGAGGTCTAAACTTGATGTCAAGACACGACGAGCGTGTATTCATTGGTTATGGATAAGATCGGTTTGGCTATAGATTCTATGATGTAGTCCGGAAGAAGCTTATTAGAAGTTGTGATGCAATGTTTATTGAAAACCAAACTATTGAGGACATTGACAAAATCGAGAAAAATATCTCCGACTACGATGGTGATTCAACATACCTAAAGTTAATCCCCCAACAATGGTGCCAAGACAAGTTAGAGATGAACGTCAAAATGATTTACCGGATGCGATCGATACGGATGCTCTTATAAAGATTGAAGATAATGATGATGTTGCAAATTAACCACCAACGATAGCGAGATTCTCCAATTTTATTAAGGAGATCTACTAGAGATAGATAACTCTCTACTAGATACTCCAATAACCGAGTATGTGTTACCGATCGATGGAGGAGAGTTAGAAAGCTTTGAAGAAGCTATAGAGGATGAACAAAAGTAGAAATGGATCGATGCCATGCAAGATAAAATAAAGTCCATGCATGAGAATAAAACATTTCAGCTAGTTAATTTACTGAAATGAGAAAAAAAGCATTAAAGAATAAGTAGGTGTTTATGGTGAAGCATGAATAAAACAACCCAGTTCCACGATTCAAAGCTAGATTGGTTGTCAAAGGATTTAAACAAAGGAAGGAAATTGACTTTGATGAGATTTTTTCTCCGAGTGGTGAAGATGACATCTATTCGCACGATACTAGGCTTAGCAACAGGCCTTGATTTAGAGGTTGAGTAGATGGATGTAAAGACAGACCTTCCTTAATGGAG